TCAGTTAAGTAACAGTTGGCACCTGGGGTCCGCACCTGTTCTTCTTTGTATAACTGGATCCCTGCCGCCTAACCTGGTTTGGACACTTAGAAGGAAACCAGCTGACCTCGGGGAGGAACCCACAGGACTCTGCAGACACCAAACGAGGCTGTTAAAAGCCAGCCCAGCCTCCCTGTTCTCACGGCACACCAGAGCAAGAAGGGGAGTGGCTGAGCCGAATCTGAGCGTGGGGAAGGTGACACGGAGGGACCTCTGTAGGTGGGACAGACTCTCACTGAGGGAGACAAGCCAGTTGGAAACCTGGGCAAAGTTAAAGGGGAGACCACGATGTTCCTGAGAAGACGCAGCCTTCACTCAGGAGGCCCCTCTTCCATGGGGCCCAGCACAACAGCCACATAGAGTGCCGGAGGGAGGGGCCGGCGCTCTGTGCCGCCAGCCGGGCCTGACCAGGGCCTCGGGACTGAGTGCATTGGAAAGGAAGCCCTGTGCTGGGTAAGCTGTTCGGCGCGCTCTGCTCTCGTCCTTTGCAATGCCAATATTATACGGTTCAGGATTCTTTCAGCAATTTCATTTCTCTGCAGAGATAACCTTTCTCCAGTATAATATATCTTGCCTAGTTACATTAAAAGAAGCAGTATGGTTGAGTATAGACTTGAAAGCTGGATCCAGGGTTTAAATTTCAGCTCTGTCTGCTTCCTAGCTCTATGACCTCTCAGCCTCAGGCTTTCATCTGTGAAGCCAGAATGCTATCTTTTCATGGGGTTATTAAGACAGTAACGTGAGGATGTGCCTGCTATACAGACTGACAAAAAGTTGTTTCTAGAAGATGGTGGTTATTATTGGTATCGGAGAAGTCCTTAATTAGGTGCTGAAGGTCTCAAAGGCTTCCGTTTAACCCCAGGAACTATTATATTAACAGGCACCCTCATCCACGACAGTGTTGGGGGGTGGGAGTAGGGGTTGGGGACAGAGGCATCGAGCAGGCCCAGGGGGAAAGTGATGGCGAGCCAAAGCCACCACGAATCTGGCGTTATAGAACGGGAAATCTTCAGTGCACAAAACTATTATAAATACGCACCTGCTTACTTTGATAAAATGAGTCAAGAGGCCTCACCTGGTAGAAAGCATGCCAGAGGCGAGCTTCCAACCCACTAGCAGGAATATTCTTCCTGGAGAGCATGTGGCTCGGAAGGTGAACTTTGAAGCTCACCGGGCTGACAGAGGGGCAACCTAGCGGTCCATACCCTGCAGGGCTTTAATCTTTCATCAATGATGTGAACTCAAAGAGAGACTTTCTACATCTGGCCCGGGAAAAAAGGCTGGTGGCCATTTGTAAAAGCTCCTCAACACCAGAGGTCTGCAACCTCAGAAAAGCTTAGAGAAGGAAGAGAGCACTGCGCTTGCAGGGAAAGCCAGTGCGAGCCCAGGCATCAGCATTTACGCGTCATCCTTTCAACTGCAGACACCTGCAACAGGCTGTCAGTGCCCTGAAAAGAATGGCCAAACTCTGCACGCTGTCACCAAGCAGGGGGGCATTTCTCCACCTGGATCCACGCACTGTGCGCAGGCCGATCAGGAGTCCCGCAGCCAGACGTTTTCTCTGTTAAGTCACCAGGAACTACCATCAACAGCCAATGAAGTTAGGCCGGACTCCAGCCCCCTACTGATCTAATCAACGGAGTGAGTAGCAAAACAAAAACAACAAAGAAAGCAAACGCATTCCATTTTCCACTGCAACACCACGTATAATCTAAAAATAGCCAGAAAAGAGTTCTGCAGAAAGGCCCAGTGAACACGCCTTGGAACAGCGAAATGGGAACTTTCACTGGGGCTGGGGGAGCAATGATCAATTAGAGCTGCAGAGATGAAGAGACCGACAGCTGCCCCCGGCTGCTGGGAGGGCGGGGGGTGGGGGATGGGGGCTTTGTCCACAAAGGGCAGCATGAGGGACCTTGGGGTGAAGCTGCTCCGCATCTGGACTACAGTGGTTGAGACACGGGTCTACATAATGATGTCGCACAGAACTTCACACACACACACACACACACACACACACACACAGAGCAGAGTGCATGTGGCACTGGAGAGGTCGGAAAAGGCCCAGGGACCATAGCAATGCCACTGCCTCAGGTGCAGTACTGCACTAAGGTGTGCAAGATGTGACCACTAGGGGCAACTGACTGAAGGGCAGCTGAAGGTGAACTTTAAATTATCTCAAAATGAAAAGTTAAGAAGTATTTCAGGACTGGAATATTATAAAACTTTTGCTCTTTGGAGGGTGCAAAATGTCCCCTCCAAAGAGCAAAAGATGCTCAGCATTCCTCTGAACCCATTTTAAGGTCACAAAGGAGATGGCCTAATGTGAATGCTCGATGTAGTGCGGGGAGGTTACCAAAAAGCAAGCGTTTCCCAGGTGGGCGAGTGGCTCATTTCAGCGATTTCCACACCTGCAGCTGAAGACAGCAGACATTTTGGGTATTAGAATTCCAACTCCAGGCAAACCACCCCCAGTCTGCAGTGTGTTTCAAAACCACGGAGTTTAACACAACGCTGTACATCGAACATGCAAATGAAAATGTTATGGGATAAACTAGTGCCATTTAAAAACTGCTTGGTGTTGCACTGTTCCCACTTGCTTTCTTATTTTGAGTGTGTGTGTGTGTTGTGGGGAAGCGCTGGGAGCAAGCGTAGTTAGCACTTAGGGAACTCCAGCTCTGGTCGTGGTTCTGACAGATGCATTTGAGGTAAAGAATCTTTAAAATAAAAACTGGTGCCCTTGTCTAAGGAACTCAGGAGTTCTCCAGGAGAGCACCATGCAGGACGACTACAGGAAGGCAATGTGTGATGTGTCGTTGTTTGCTATCGCAGACGCCCATGGCAGGTTTTAACAGGAACACCCAAGCAGAGCTCCTAATGCAGTACAGAATGGTGGAGAGGGGAAAAAAAGCACTGAAAATCTGCAGCTTGATATTCTTCAGTTTTCCCTTCTCCTAATTTCTGGTATTTACAATAAAAAAATAGGCTAAAAATATCTCACTGTAGTCCTTAGTTTCTTATAAATTCCCAACATTATGCCACTTTTATTTTGGCTAAAACAGACAGGAAGGCCACCGACTGACAAGTCCCCTCAGAGCCCTAGTTCGGCTTTCAAAGAGGCCCCTGTCATGATCAATTACCTGTGATAATGTAGAGGACTCACAAGCTCTTTACATAAGCTTTACATTACTTCAAAAATACAACGAAATGAATTAACGGCATTGGTTTTTCTCCTCATTTTGTTCATGACAGCTGTTTCCAAATGCAACTATGTTCTACGTTTTGTAAGCATATACCTAACTTTCTAAATCTTTTGCCATTAACAAAATTTTCTATCAATGACCAGGGTCATGTGCCACATGACAGCATCTCGGTTGGTGACGACCTGCGTATCCAACAGGGGTCCCGCCAGGGCACGATGGAGCTGAAAATTCCCATCGCCTAGTGGCACGGCAGCCGTCCCAGCACCGAGCACAGCACACCCACGCGGGTGGCGATGCCGTGCAACAGGCCTGCGGGCTGCCAGCCAGGCGCGAGTGCCGCGCTTACAAACGCGTCCCGTGCGCAATTCTTGACAGTGACAAGGAGGGGCTGTGTTCCTGCTTCATGCAGTCCCTCTGCTCCACTTTCCATCGTTAGTTTTGAGTGCACTTTCTGCTCAAAGAAGAAGTTTGCTGTAGAACACCCTGCCATGTCGCCTGGGCAGCGGCCTCACGCATCCCGTGTTTACTGCGTCTCTCGATTGTATCGTTTCCTCCTGTGCTGGGTCCAGCCCTGCGCTGCTCTGGGAGTAGAGGGCAGCGTCGGCAGTGGCAGCCAGTAGTGTCTGAGGCTTCCCATTCACTCAGCACTCACTCCCTGCCCCGCCCAGGGCCACTTCCAGTGCTCAGGCTCCTCCATGGCAGGCGCCCTACACAGGTGAACCACTGCTTTGTTTCATCTTTGATACCCCATTTTTACCATACCCTTTGAATGCTTAGGTACGTTTAGATACACACATACTTACCATTGTGTTACAGGTGCCTACAATGTTCAGCACAGTGGTCTAGGAGCAACAGGCTGTACCACCAGCCTGGGTACACAGCAGGCTGGACCGCCTAGGTTTGTGTGAGCGCACTCTGTGGTATTTGGACAACGATGGAATCGCTTAACTGCGCGTTTCCCACGGCATGTCTCCCTTGTAAGCAGCGCACAACTGTAGTTTTCATCAATATCTGCACGGTCTGGTTGTGGCAAGCCGTACCTCTGCTCCAGGCTTCTCCTCCCTCTCTGGCCCTCTCATATTTTTGTTAAAAGAAAGCACCCACTCACACAGACACACATAATACATGCACACAAATGCTTCAAAGGAAAGAATGATCTCCCTACAGAGGATTTCAGTAAGAATCATACAATGAGAATTCATTAACACACAACTCTGAGCTATCTAAAGAGAGAGTTTCTTCCTTAATCACAATGACAAGACAGCCACCCTCAAGGGAGAAAGCGCAAGCCTTGACTTGAGTACACCATCCCCTCCAGGTCGGGTTGTCAGGGGACATGAGAGCTTGAGATCGCGGACGGTAACAGTCAACATGACTCACAGCCGCTCTCTCACCATTAGTCAGTCAGCAGATAACCAAACACACACATCCAGGCATAGAACACCCACCTAACACTAGGGGTTCCTTCAACCCAAATTTGAAGTGCCCAGGACAGTCCCCCACAGTCCTGGGCTGCTCTGACACTTTCTTTGTGATTTGGATTTAGAGTCTCCACACCTGAACAGTGTCTGGTTTAGTGAATGTCTGTAAAATAAGCAAGTATCTTCCTCTTAGACAGAACATAAATAGCAACAGCAGTTAGAGAACACTGTAAACCACGCAATCGTAGATAAGTAGATAAGTTGCAGCCATTATTTACGAGAATGACAGCACTGATTCCTTCTGTGAAACACAAGTGAGAGCCAAGCCCACGGGGAGTACCTTAGCGACAGCAGTGACGTGCTCCAGGGCCAGCGCGTGAAGATGCTCGTCCTGGCTCTCCAGGAGAAGCTTCAGGGACGGCAGCAGGAGGGCCTGGTTCTGCAGCAGCACGCTCAGCTCCTTCACACACTGAAACCAGAGTGCAATGTGTGAGTGACAGGAAGCCCGTGGCATCCCCAGGGCCGTTCTGTGTCTCCACACTGTTTTCTGTGAGCGCGCATGTGTGTCTAAAGCACACATGGGACCACGCTGATTCAGTGTCTGGGTCCTGCTTCACTCGCTTCACAGGGTATTGTAAACATCCACCTAAGCTCTCAGATTTTTCTCCAGCATTGCTTTTAATGGCTGCATAGTATCCCACTGGATGGATGTGGACCTGCCATTTATTTGCTTAAATTCTCAGAGCCCTTGTTTCCTTGTGAATAAAATGCAGGTAATTATATCTATTTTGCAGCATTTATGGGTGAGAATAAGTGTTAATCAATAATAATGTACAAGGCTCAGCATATACTAGATGCATAAGAAACAAGAAAAACTATTATTCATTGTTCATACTATCAAATATCTAGTTATCATCCACTGCAACAAAGGAAATCAAGTGAAATATTTAAAAAACTGTTTATAATCCTAATGTCAAGGTGAACTGAATACTTGATGCTTAAGATATTCATCTTCATGAAAACTATCTGTGGTCCAGAAAAATAAAAGTGTATTTAAATTTTATTCTCAGTTCTTTATTATATTGGCTGAACCTGTCATCAGAGAGCAGGCTTTTATAGAACATGACAAATGATAATCCTTCACAACAAGAGTAGAAAAGAAAAGAAAAGAAAAGAAAAAAGAAAAGGAAAGAAAAAGAAAGAAAAGGAAAGAAAAACGAAGCTACCTCGCCCTGCTGAGTTTAGTGCTGCCTCCGCGTCCAGACTCGGGCTGTGACGCGAAGAACAGAACTCCTGGGCCGGGGACCAGATGACGAACGCACCTCGTCACCTAACGCAGGGCTGCGGAAGGACTGAGGACCGCTGCCTGCCACGGGACTGACATTTCTCTCGTGCCTCTCAACAGTGGCATACCAGAAAAGAAAAACTCAAGTTCCTAGCTTCGTAATCCTTTTACATTTTTATAAGGCTAGATAGAATAGGGATGGCACAAAGGAGCTCCTATTTAAAGGGTAGGAGAAAGGTCTCTGGAATTCCAGTAATTGCAGTATTTTTTAGCTTTCACCCCACATGTCTCTCTGCTGCGAATTAGCAAGGTCTTTACATGTCAGATCAGAAGGTTGTGCTACACACACTTGTGTGGAAATGGTCAACATCAGCAGGGGATGATTTTGTGAAATACGTACTTCCAACGTTGCAGCTTCTAATTCAGGGAAGTGGTCCGTGGGCCCTAAAGCACATGGGACACACAGAGGTGTCTCATCCAGCATCTGGGCCACAGGGCAGTGCAGATTTTTAATCAGGGTGCCCGACCCTGCAGAAAATATTTGGGAGGACGAAATACACACTCCCGGGCATGACAAGCTCCCCGCCGCTGCACACCACGCCGCCTCCTTCCCGCTTCTCCTCCGAGGGGACAGCATCGCCCCCACCTGCTTGCTCCTTAGAGAGCAAGTTCCCAGGACACAGTTCAGCAGAGACAGTGTGTTCTGGGTCTGCGCAGTCCAACACGGCAGCCACGAGCCACATGTGGGTAGGGAACAAGTAAGATGTGGCTAGTGCCAATGAGGAGCTGCATTGTAAACTTTATTCCATTTTTACTCAATTTAAGTTTTAGCTTTAATAACCCACTGTGGCCAGAGGCCACCATGCTGGATGGCAGAGCCGTCAAGAGTGGGGTGCTCTCAGATCTCTGCTGCTTCTCTCTCCGATTAACCCTTTTTTTGTTCCTTTGGTCTCAGCTTCAAAAGGCACCAGAAACCCCCGGCTCCTCTGCAGGTGCCTCTGATTCCCCAGGTCTGACACTCCTGTCCCAACGGTATTTTGTAAATGTTTCCCACGCTGTCTGTCGCCTTGCGTTGTTCCAATTGCTCATTTGTCTGCCTTACTTGAGGGCAAGGATATTTTTCCTTCTCTGTATTCCAAATTTGCTTGGTATATACTATACCTAAAAACATTTATATATAAACTCCTCTTTCTCAACACTCATACTTGCTTATTCGATAAGCTACCAGTAATTGGTAAAAAGGTATTTCTCAGTAATTTATGATATTGAGGCTAAGCAAATCACTTGGTGGACCTTCGTTCTGATGAAACATGTTACTTAAATTACCTGCACACTCCTCTGCGCAGACGGCCACAGACAGGCAGGGACGCCTAGGAAGGAAGGACTTCATTTCACGTGAGCCACTGACTGCCTCTGGTCTCTTCGCTAACAGTCATGGACTAAATCCCTCCTCTGGGCTTAAATACGACACTGTGCTGGTCAGGTGTGTCTGCCTGTGCTGCAGGAGGGCAGCTCAGTGAGGAGATTTATAAAGGGTTTGGGGAGCTGCAAGGAAGGTGGAAGCAGCAAGGGGAACCAGAGACACCCTGTGTGGCTCTTTTCTGGCTCAAACCTGTGTGTCCATCAGGACACAGAACAGCAAGAGGGCCCCCGAATGGGGAGGGGCGGGCGGGCTGGGCCCAGAGCAGACTGATTCCTGGTGGTGGCCGGGGGCCTGGTCCCAGCAGCTGAGGGTTGTCAGCGGAGCAGGCCCGGGCCAGCCAACGATCCGCCTGTCCTCACACAACCCTCCTGTGGGTGCCGGGGTCTCCAGCGCCCTGAGGGTTACAGGTCTGCAATGGGCACACGGGGCACAAGGTGTGCAGGGATGCCTGTCATCTGACTCCAAAAATGAAGCTCCTGATTATTAAGGTCATGAGTGAGAACACCCACATTGAGACCTAGGAGCCAGGGGTTGCCAGGCTCATTCCGGAGCTGGGCATCTAACGCCCGCGCCCTGCCCCACAGGGCCTGCGACTCCAGCTCACGCTGCGCCTCGGCGAGACCACGGGCCTTCGGGCTCAGCCCCAAAGAGCTGGGGCCTGGAGTCTTACAGCTGCTGCATAAACGCCGACAGCCTGTCCTGGGCCGGCTCCTCACTCGACCTAACCCCCGCTCCAGGGAATGCTCAATATATTGCCACGGATACAAGCCAAGAAAAAGGGGCATGCGACCTATGAGAAAGAGTGACTTTATTCTTCTGATACGTTCTATCAGCGAAACCATCACGGCCGTAAATAACAAGGGCCAGGAGCGACAGCAGGCAGTCCCCAAAAGGCCGTCTAAGGAGTCATGAAGAAAAGAATCTCTAGTGTGGGAAATTGTGGGGGATGGGAAGCGGGGGTGGAGTCCCTGTCACAGACGATGAGAAAATGCACCTCATGCCCCAGAGAGCAGGGCAAACCAAAGGTGCTGGATTAAAAAAGCAGTGAGTTATGGCCAAGTTTACCAGCCGTACTATGACATGAAGTACTAAGAAACTCTGAATTAGGCGGTGACTCCTCAAATGCAGTAAACTTAACAAGCCATTTCCATTTTGCACTAATAATGTCCCTTTCTTTGTAACAACTTAAATTCACATCGGAGCACATTTGGTGATCAATAAAAACAGCACACAACATTCGCAAAGTTCCTGTAGTCAAACTATTCTAAGAGAAATATCCATAAATGTACGCAATTAAAAGACAGACGTTGAGGCAGCGTATGGAAAATGAAAGCAAGTCACTGTGGCAACAAAACTCATTTGATAATAATTATTTTTCACCTCATCAAATTAGAAGAGAGAAGCATAACGACCTAGATAAAAATGGGGTTTGATCCAGTACCTTTCTCCTCCCCACAGGCGACTACGGACTGAGGAAAGGCAGCGAGTCACACGCTATGGACGAAGCAGCGGACAGAGGGCCTCCGCTCACCCCGCTCAGGGCCTGCAGACCTCGCCAAGTGCGACAGGAGTCCTCTCTGAGGTCACCCAGTCTGGCCCCCGTTTCTGAGACCAGACTGCAGAGGTCCAGACGGCGGGCTCTGCTCAGGGCCCCAGACCAGGCTGCAGCCCTACCCAGAACAGGAAGGCACACGCTCATGCCTCACGGGCGCCTTCTGCTCTGCCTGCCCTGCAGGTGCCCCTGGTCCTAAGGAGGAGAGGCCAACGAACCCCCTTCCACAGGGCGGTGTGAGGAGGACCCCAGTGCACACATGCTTACGGCACCGGGCTTTCTATTCTGATCGCCTTAAAACACTGAGGAACAGTGATTAGGTGACTCTGAGTTCAAACTGGACCAATGCAAATAAACTCAGTGCATCCCTTTATTTGTTAACCTGTGATAGCTCAACCTGGCTAGAGAGCCACCTCAGGGAGCTCCATCACGACAGCCATTTAACTTCTCATTTATGCACTAACTCCTTTTTATTAAAAAATAGGAAACAGAAAGCAAATGTATTACACGTTGGTCAATAAAGAGAAGTGCATACCTTTCCCTCTGCATCCAGGAAGAATTCCCTAAACTTTACATGTTAAGTAACAGAGACTCAGCTGTATCTGTCACCCATTCCTAGGTGGCAGAAAAATCAAGTACATGACTGTTCCTGAGCCTGGATCCCGTAGTGAATGTCAGGGTCAAAGATGCAGCGGCCCAATTCTCAGCTAATTTGCATTCCTCACCTGAGAACTAACTACGGCGAAACCAAGCCAGTGAGGACATTGAAAAACACACAGGCTCTCTGGGCAGTGATGCAGATCCTAACACTCTCCCACCTCAACACTGATGAATAACCTAGACTCTGGACTCCATGGCCCATTCTTGAAGAAAGTACCATAGAAAAGGGGAAAACACTGACAACAGAACTTAGACAACGAGGTACCTCAGACAGACACTCACTATGGATACACCCCAGTGTAGTAAGAGTGGCCGTATTTACTTCTCAAGCTGTCAGCCCAGAGCCTGGGTCTCAGGGCAGGCTGTTCTCTGCCCAGAGGCCTGGAGCAGGCCCTCGCCCTCAGCCTCTGCTTCATCAGCTGCCAGGGGCGGAGGAGGATCCAGGAAGCTCCTTGTGGGAGGCAAAGGTTAAATGAAACAATGGAGGTGAAAGCCCAAGAGGGCTAGCAAGTTAGTTCCTGCCATTGCCACCAGCTCGTTAGGTAGTAACAACAAGTCCTAAACAATGCTCTCCTAGCCCAGGTCCCACAGAACTGATGCGGGGGCACTTCCGGCACTTGGTCCCGATCCAGCGGTTCCGCCCTCGGCTGGTGTGAAGGCGAAGCTGAGCCCCTGCTAGTCACGCCGCGCCTGCCCTCACAGGGTACAGACTGTGCTGGGGCCCCCCGTGCGGTGCGTTGGATCCTGTCATGGGTGAAACAGAGATGAAACTGCCACGGTCCCCACCCTGCGGGTGCTCACAGTCTATATAGCAGAGCAGGTCACAGGGAAATTAGTAGCTGACACCAGCAAATCACGCACCATGGAGTAAAGGGACGTTATCTTTGGTGTCAGTACTTTAAATGTTTTACTCAAGAATTTTGTCATTCTGATGGTTGAAAGTCTTCTTTAAATAAACAAAATATTTTAATATTCAATCAAAAAATACTCAGCCAGTCCCTCATTCGGAAAACAATTCATTAAATATGCATTCAGAATGAGAATATTTTCCTTGAGTGAGTACAATGACGATTCAGAGAACCGTACTTACAATTTTATTTTCAAGTTTATCTCCTACGGGGTAGAAACTCAAAAACCAAGTAATCAATTTAGTGGTATTATCCAAATGCTTAAACTGAAGACATGTAAACTGCTCAAACAATACACTGCTGAGGTCAGATCCACAGTGGCAGGGGGCGGTCACTAATATGTGCGTATTTCAGAATGTACAGATATATATACATCCATGTATAAAACAAACACCTCTGTGATGGTCCAGTTTGGGATCAAAGAGAGAACTAAGGTCAAAACAGAGGTGGCTGGGTGATTTAGCACGTTTCCAGAGAATAAATAGTGAGGTTGCGCGACCCTGGTGCAGAGATGTCGAAAGCTATGTGAAGATCGGAGCAGCTGGTCCCCGCCCAGAGGAGCGTGCTCACGCTTTCCGCTACCTTTCCAGGGGCGGGCTCAGGAGAGGTCGCATGGGCGTGGCTATGCCCATGTGGAAGGTAAACTTGAGACAGCAAAGCGTCTCTGAAGGAAGTGAAAGCTGGCTTCGACCCGGGACTGTAAACAGAACGCTGCTTCAGAAGAGCTCAGGTCGAGCAAAGGGAAAGGTCCTCCCGGCATCCTTCCAGCTTCCCTGGCCTTCACTCGGTCTGTTACAAACGCGTCCCTTTCCCCATCGATGGCCTGAGCTAAACACATGCAGTCGCTGACGCTGCGTACACCACGGAGCTGGGATGAGAGACAGGGTGCCCGCAGGGAAGCACTCACCTCAGCAGGGAGCATCTGACTGGTGTTATATAAAGAGCGACAGAGTTTCAAAACTTCATTCCCCAGGCCTTCCTTGGTCTCCCGTGTACACCTGGTCAGCATCGCTGCAGCAAGCCTCACCCAAGGATTATTCGCTACGCTGGTTCTGAGAGAGAAAAATGCAAGGCATTGGAAATGATTAAAGCTGTAGCAATTGTGATAACAAATGTTAAAGTAGAAAAAAAAATCCCATTTTTCGAAGTAGGAATGCTTTGACAAATTTCAATCATAATCCAGATGACAGGACCCTTCCAGTACCCCCTGCAGAAGAGAGGGCGTCTGCCGGAGGAAGACGCACCCATCGACTGAGGCCCCGACAGCACCCCAGCAGCCTGGGCGCAGCAGCGACCAGGGCAGGCGCTGAAGGGCATGGGCTGCCGTGAAGCCCGGCCTCTGGGCCTCACTTCTGGGTCCCTGACGGATGACAGGGTTGGCTCACACAAGTCACTTAAACACTCTCGGCCTGGTTGGATGGTTCTAGGGAAGCCACCCAACCTTCCTGGGCCTCTGTATTTTTTTCCATTGTGAAAAAGCAACCTAGAGTGCGCCCTGCAGGGTTGCTTTGTTTAATGAGTGATGTTTGCAGTTATGGAGTGTCACTCCTAATAGCAGGCCCCTCTTGATGTTTGCTACCTAGTGCGGGCTTTTCCTATCACGTGACTATGATGATGGTTGTGCCCAGGACTGATCGCGGGGTGAGGGCAGGATTAACGACAGTAAGGACAGGGCGCGGCAGGGCTGGGCCCGGGGACACGGGCTGCGGGAGCCGCATGCAAGCAGCAGGGAGATCACACTTTGAGCTTCGGCTAGTTCTCTTATTTCTAAAACATAAAAGTATACAAAGTTTGCCTTTTGCTTCCCTTCTCTGGCTGCTACTACCCAGTTTCACCAGAACGTCATGATTTACATTTCAAGGAACAAGTTAAAAGTACATTCATTCTAAGGCCCCAGGGTGCTCACTTTACTTGTAACATCTGAAAATAGTTTTACTATTTATTAAGTGTCTGTTGTCCAGACACTGAACACCTAAGGGCGGTCTCTTCCTTGAAGAATTTTATTGCTTACCCCTGAGAAAAAACGTCAAGTGCAACGACAACAAGGAGACGCACAAGACTAGCCTTTGTGTCTCAGCTCAAACTAACGATCTGTGAGGACAAGGACTACTGCTTAGTTCCAAGCACAGGCAAGCCCTGGGGTATCTGCTGACTGGGGGGCCTCCGCACACTAAGGACCAGCGCTCTGTGGTCCTCCTTCCGAGTCTGTACTCGCGCCAGGCCGGCCAGCTCAGCCCCCTGCAGCGCCCCCCGTCCCTCCACTGGGCCACATGGCTTTGACAACAATCTAAATGCACTTCCCGCCAGCCTGTTGTGACGCACGGACAAGCACTATGCATTTCCCCTACGTACAAGTCTATTACACACTCCATGCATTTTCCCACAAGGGACTAGAACTGAAAATCTACAGTTGCTACTGTTAAATTAGCAGTCGCAGGGATGGAGCCCCCTTCTGAGTGTTGAGCTTGATTGCGGAACAGGCAACATCCGATCCCTGTCACACCACCCTCCTCTCCTCCGGCTTTTCCCTCTCTTCCCCAACCCCCTTTCTTGGTTTTGGTTACTTTGGAAGTGCTTAAGTCATCATGGATTGTCTGAAATAATAGAAATGCCTACTCAAAAGTACTTTGGAGAACCTGTTTTTTAAAGTATCCCATCACGTGCTCCCTTGTGTGAAACACCAGCCTGAACCGCAGCGGGGCAGACACAGACCCCTGCCCTCGGCTCAGCCTCCGGGTGCCTCTAGCAGAGGAGGCCTGGCTGGCAGCAGGGGAAAGGAGGTGGGTCCTGCTTTGTTCTGACTCTAACAACTTCTTAACCGAGGACTGTGAAACACAGGTTAGCAATTTACAAATTTCCTTTCACATGTGACTACAAAAAATACACCTTTAAGAAATCAGATTTTTTTGTCTCCACATACATTCAATGTTTTACATGCAATAAAGGTTTTCAGTGACGCTATTTCGCTTCTTGTGGGTCAGTGAGAGATGTGAAATGGCCTCTGTTCTAAAGGTGAAACTGTAAAACCACAGTTCACCAATCTCCCAGAGGTGTTATATTTTGAATTTAAAAGTCTCTTTTCTGAGAGATCCATTTTGAGGGTGGGGAGAAGGCTACATTCAACTCTAATAATTTCCTAAAAAAGGAAAGCACAGCTGCGGATCCAGTCAGCGGGTGCCATGTCTGCTTCACACTATCATCGCCTGGGCCTTGTTCAGAAACGGATTCCCAGGCCCCAGCACAGGCGCGGCCTCGGCGAGGCAAGCGTGGGTCTCTGGCTTCAACCAGCACCCCAGGCCCTCGGGCGGCTCTGTCGAGGCAGCTGTTCCAATGCACTGTCACAAGGAAAACTGGAGGTTCTGCAGTGGGCGAACCTGTGCTGTGGAGTTCATACGGGGAAGCTAAGACCCCATTCCTAGAAGCTGAGTGTCAGTCTGCCACCTCTCGCACAGGTGGCAGAGATCTAAGAAAGGCCGGTTTTCACGGGGATGTGCACTACAGCATTGGGAATATAGCCAGTAATATTTTAATAACTACGTGTGGGGCCAGGTGGTACTGGAGGTAGTGGGAGGGCCGCTCTCTAAAGTATATGACTGTCTATCCACTATGCCATACACCTGGAACTAATACAGAATAACACTGACTGTCAACTATAATTGAGAAAAACAAAACAAAACAAAACAAAAAGAGCACTCTTCAGAAATTCCTAACAGTCTCGTCCTGGGGTTAAGGGAGTGTTTTCCAGACGTTCTTTAGCGGTCCTCAACCACACAAAGGATTCTTCAGGAAAGCCTCCTTCCTCCCCTCTGCGGTGCGCGGCCATGTGCGGCCCGGGCAGCGTGGGCACCGGCCAGCACGGGTGGCACAGCTGAGTCCCGCAGCCAGCGGGCGTTGGGAACAGCGGCCCAGGTGCTCCCGTTCGGTTGCCAACAAGGAACAGCAGCTCATGACAGGCAGCATATGTGCTCAGAGGAAACCTGCCACGTCTTTGCAGGAGTCCTTGGCTGAGGGCAGGAGAACGGGACGGGCGCTCCAGGCAGCTGTGAGTGCGGCGGCCAGTGCGGCCCCACACGGAGGAGGAGACCGCAGGGCTGTGAGGGCCGCCAGTCGGGGCCAGGACGCTGCCTCCTCACCTATTAGCCATGGGACGCCTGAAGCTACACAGCTTCTGAGCTTCAGGTTCCCCATCCACAAAATGAGATGACATCACCTTCCAGTGCACGGCTGTTGTGTGAATGGATAATATATGTAAATTGCACATAGTGTGTGTGCTCAATTATGGGAAGTATCAATTTATTCCACAGGAATTCTCAAGTTAGCATTATAAGCCATGTTAAAAGAGAGTCAAAGGATTTCCTAGTTAAAGAAAAAAGTAGAACAAAATTACTCTGTTGACATCATAGATCAGATGTTATTATCAATCACTGCCTGATATTTCTGAATAAAATATTTGGATTCAGGGACAAGACAAATTTTATCTATTTCTTTCATTGGCTCTTTTGAAGGTATTGAATTTTTAAAACTTAAGAAACCAAAGAAGTCTAATTTTAGGTGGCTACTTACAAATATTCACGACTCATAGGCGGCCATGCTTGTAAGAGCAAAACCAAGTGCTGGAACTCAGCCTCCTGGTGGCTGGACTCCAGGAGGCCCGTGAAGAGCGAGCGGCGGCTCTCCTCGTGTTCGACGTCGGCCGGGTCCACCTGGAAGTTCAGATGCACACTTGAAACTGGTGGCAAGAGCTAAGGAATTTCTATACAGAAGTCAAATCTGTTTCTTTTTACGACTCTTTTGGCAATTTTTTCCAGGCATTGAGGAAAGTTCAACATCCTTTTCCATGCCCAAAAAAACTTTTAAAAGCTCTACGCCTTTTCCATTTCAAACCTTTAAGTTAAAATTGGAACAAATCACAGTATGGGTCTTAATATTCTATATATATATATATAAAAAAAATCAAACACGTAGATTTCCACATGGCATTCAATATGTTATGCTAAAACACCAAATCATGTTATATGAAATGATGAGTTCAACATACTAAAATTTAGCTGACTTTTTTGCTTTAAATTATTCTAAATGCATTTCTACTTCTCATTTTAACTTTTTTACTACTAACAATTCATGTTGCCTAGAAAATTTTTCTAATTTGAAGTTAAAGATTTTACTACAGTGCATTTGTCTTATGATACTTCGCTACAAACAAAAATAAACTACCCTCTGTTCTCATCTCCATTTCTAATGTAAAATAAGTCACATTCAAATAAAGAATGCTTATTTCGCGCTGGCTGGTGTAGCTCAGTGGATTTAGTGCTTGGCAATACAAACTGAAAGGTTGCCAGTTCAATTCCCAGTCAAGGCACATGCCTGGGTTGCGGGCCATGTCCTCAGTTGGGGGCGTGCAAGAGGAAAGTGATTGATGTTTGATTTCTCTCTCCCTTCCCCTCTCCCTAAAAGTAAATACATTTTTAAAAATCTTAAAAGAAAAAAAAAAAAAGGAATGCTCATTTTTCCTCTCACCGAAGAACCAGATGCTATTTCTTTTACACGGAGGCAGTCTTAGAACGAATCACATCCCCAGCACCTCTGTGGATGAAACTGTTTGCTCTTTTACGTTAAAAGGCAGGCTCCAATATGAGAGTCGGCCAAAAGCTGGTTCTCTTGCTCCCCGGCCTCTCATAGCACAGACTGTCCATAATTGCGTAACTACAACTCAGAGGCTACCTTGAGAGGATAATGAGAATGAATGGTTACCCACATATTTGCTAAACTGTCTATATTAATGCATGTTTCCAAAACATTTAATTTAATGGCCATTCTGGCTCTGATCCCAAGTAGCCATCTGAGAGCTGCACCACGAATCCTGCCTCGTCACAAAGCTGGTGAGCGCTAGGAAATGGCCGGTCGTTGCTATGGGAAGCCCTGTTCACGCCATGGCCAGCAGATCCCTCAGACCCGCCCTAAAGCCCCCTGGCATTCTTCCATGGAGTAATAACGCTGTGCATTTTACTGCTTTTGAAATAATTTTATAAGCCAGTAAGTCAGCTGACCCTTCCAAGAGTTCTGTGTGGAGAACAGCACAAGTACTATTAGCCTCACTTTACAGATGACAAAACAGGCTTATGTATCCCGGCAACACAGCTAACAGGTGGCAGGGTCAAAAGATAATTGTAAGCAAGAGGCAGAGACAACATATGACCAGATCAGGAAGTCCTGGATCAAGGGAACTCAGTAAGCTAAATAAACTCTGAATCATTTAAATTGGTGGCCTAACTGGGAGTTTTGCGATAGTTTCTTACTTGTGTAAAGAAATGTTTTTTAAAAAACCTCCAACTCAAGCCATCTCCCTGCTGCTACCAGACTTCACCGCCTTCAGCCAGGCCCAGCCTCAGGGCCCCGCAGGTGCTCTGCGTCCACGCGCACACACGTCTGCCTGGGGGGCTTGAGTCCCCGTTTCCTTCAAATCTCCCTACTGTCACCCTCTCAGGGGACACGCTGCACACTGTGTGAGGGCCGCATCCCCACCCCTACCGACCCCTCTCACCTCACTTTGTGTTCCTTCTTAGCACTGACAAGCGTGTGACATGTTAGATATTTATTGCCTTTCTTTTTCCACGAATGTTTTCCTCAAAAACAGAGGCTTGCGTTTTTTCACTGGTTTATCCCCGCTGCTTAAAATAATGAACTAGTGAATGGATATACAAATGAATGAAGATATAAAACAGTTTAGCACAGAATGCTAACAAATATTCATAGCGTTGCCATACCCTGTGGGCTGTTCTTTTTTAATTAAAGAGACATAGGCGTCCAAAGAAGCTGCCACCGAGAAGGAAGTCACTAGGAAGACCCAGAGGTGGCCTGCTCGCTGACACTACATCTCGGCCACGGAGCCTTGTTCAGCTGTGTGATTTCAGTAGAGCCCCTCTCTCTGGGTCTCAGGTTCCTCATCTGAAGAATGGGCCCCCAAAGACCCCGACATCTCAGAAGCCCAGCCTGGAGCGCAGCAGCTGGGAGAAGGGCTGGAAAATGGCTGCTCTTTTCTTTCTTAGCCATAATCTAAGTTTTTACAGGGTTCATGTGTACAAAACCTTTTTTTGTGTAAAAAATACTTAAAAACCATAGAATGATATGTTGCTAATGTTCCTGGCAGTGTCAATATTCCAGTTTCTGTAATTAGCTGCGATATAATTCAGAAGTTGTTTCTCCCTTACATGACATGCAGAGTATAATGTTTTTTTGAGTCAGACCATAACAGGGTAGAGATTAGGAAAAAGTGATTCATGTTTTTGATATCATTTAGATTTCTTTCATTTCAGAGAGTGCAACAAGCCTGTAAATTTTATGTACACTAACTACCATAGGAGAAGAAAAGAGAAAAGAAACTATAAATTAAACCTTCATATGTTTGTTTTATATTAATGTGCAAATAATAGTTTCCACTTAAAAGACTGTTTGGTAATAAATTTCTTTGTATAACACATTTCTAACGTATACACTGACGTTTTAATAGTATGCCTTTGTCAGGAAACATTTGCTTCTGAATGCTCACTAATCATTTCAATTATTAGTGAATTTTCAGAGCACTGATCCCCATTTTTAAAATACAAATGTCAAAATTAAAGTAGCTTACACAGCCACACCTTTCGTGCATGCCCACCTGCATATTACCACATATCGTGTCAGATTTCAAATCAAGTTACTCAGCGCTTAAGAAGGGAGTCCTAAATTCTCTACCACTGCAGCTGCAAAAGCTTTACATTTTATGAGAGAAGATTTGTGTCCACATATGAAAATATTTAAATTTATCTATACAAGCTTATTTTTATCATGTTATATGTTTTAAAAATATATTCTAATAACCAAAACTCAAAATGAATTTTTATATAGATAAAAGAGAAACACATGCAAAGAACTTCCAGCCTAGATGAAATAGTTTTAACCCATTTTTCTCTACTATGGAAAGCCCAATAATAAACTATAGAAATAATAAAAAAGACAACCAAAGGAGAACTCTTTGTGGTGGTAAAAAGAAATCGAGCTGGTTTGGGACACCAGGACTAGAAAAACAACGCCAAGGCAGGGTCTCCTGCATCCCTTCCCCTAGCAGAAGAAAGATGCTCAGAACCCCTGTTTGCTGACTCTTGACTTAGAAACAGAAGAGAGCCCAGGTAAGGCCATTTCTCTTCAGAGTTACAGAAGGGAGGGAGAAAAAGGGTAGGGCTGAAAGAATATTTTAACAAATAACATCTAAAAACTTCCCAAATTTGGTGGAAAATACAAACCTACAGATTTAAGAAGCTGAGCTAACCCCAGAGTGAGCCCAAAGAAATCCATGCCAAGACATCGTAATCAAATTCTACTCAACCAAAGACAAAGACAAAATCTTGAAAGCAGCCAGAGAGAACAACATTACCTACAGGGGAACAACAGTTGGAATAATGGTGGACTTCTCATCTGAAACCATGGAGGCCAGAAAAAAGTGGCACAATTGTCAACTACATATTCTGTATACAGCACAGCTACCCATTAAGAATAAAGGGGAAATAAAACATTATCAGATAAAGAACCCTACCCCACCCCCTAAAAACAGAAAGATCTGTCACTAACAGTCCTCATCTTAAAGGCCAGCTAAAGGAAGCATTTCAAGCAGAAAGGAAATGATTAAAGAAAAAAGCATTGCAGCATCAGAAGAAAGAATGAAGAATGTTAAGAAGAAATACGGGTAAATACAATAGACTATCCTTTTTCATGTGAGTTTTATAAATTATATTTGATGATTAGAACAAAGATGATAACAACTGATACTCTGGCAATGACATTTAATAGTGGGAAGGTAAGAAGACCCAAATGGAAGCGATGTTTGCCCATTACACTCTGAGGCAAGGATGTCTGCTTCTACCACTCTTCTTCAGCATCACACTGAAAGTTCTAGCCACTGAAATAAGGCAAGAAAAACGAATAAAAGGCATACAGATTGGGGTGAAATTTTCTATTTACAGATAACATGGTAGTCTACTTAGAAAATTCCTAGACACGTTAATGTTAAGAAAAAAAAAAACAAAACCCGAAAGTTAACACCAGTGAATAAATCAGCAAGTTCAGAGAATATAAAGTCAATGCACAAAATCAATCACATTCTATTTAGTAACAATGAACGTGTGAAAATTATGATAGACTGTTAAAAAGGTGTCTTCATAATTAGATTCACGTTTACTAAGACCCTATACTAGTGTCTCACAAGCTACTTTCACATATATTATTACATTTATTCAGTTATTTATTTTAGCCCTTATAATGAATTCTATTTATTAATTCTAGTCATTTTCAGTACTTTTGTTTTTCTAGAAATTAGAATTATGTAATTTAAGTAACTACAATTAAGATTTTTAAAAATGTTACAGCCCCTACTTCTGTTTCTTATTTTACCACATTAATTAGGACCTCCAGAACAATGCTAAAAAAAGAACAAAAAACAGTAATATTGAAAACTCTTGTTCTTAATTCTAATGAAATTGCCTCAAAATTTTCAGTTTTCAAAGTTAGCTCTGATTAAATTCTAGTGGTGGTCAGCAGAGAACATAGAGCACAGCAAATGATCAACATAGATTTCTTACATAATACTATAATAAAAATAATGATGTTATCTACTTTCTTTCTAGAAGATTATTTTGGCCCAATATATTTTCATATCACAACCAGTAATGCT